ATCACAGGATCAGGAATTCTGAGACTTGATTTCAGGAAACAAAGTCCAACTCTGGCAGGAGAGAGTAGAAAGGTCAAAGAGCAAGATGTCGAGACACATATGCTTCTCAGAAGCCTTCAGAACACACTCAAGAGGACATTTTGTTTTTACCCAATTGCTTTTTATGGGGAAAAAAAATGTTACAAGACACTGTCAAGCTGTAATTGTGGAGAAATGGACATTCATGGAATTTTTCTGGAAAACTAAATTTTTTTTTTTTTTAAGATTTTATTTATTTATTTGAGAGAGATAGCAAGAGCAGGAACACAAGCAGGGGGAGTGGGAGAGAGAAGAGCAGGCTTCCCGGAGAGCAGGGAGCCCGATGCGGGGCTTGATCCCAGGACCCTGCATCATGACCTGAGCCAAAGGCAAACGCTTAACAACTGAGCCACCCAGGCGCCCCTGGAAAACTAATTTGTATCAAGGTTTAAAAAATGCACACCCCTTGATCTAGTGATTCCCTCCCTAGACATGAAAAAAGAAAACTTGAAAACCATGTCCAAAAACAGCAAAATTATGGTACATTCATATGGTAGAATATTAGACAACTATTTAAATAGAGCATCTTGGAAGTGATCACATATTTTTTGAAAATTTAAGAGTATAATTAATTCTTTTACTCATAAATAGAAAAAATTGCAATACAAATGAGATTAAGGGGTAGTTTTTGACAACATTATGTTAACATTGTTATTTTTCAAATCATTTCAAATGACCACAAACTACTTTTGTTTAGGAAAGGAGAAAAAAAAAACTTACAATCTCATTTTCAAATGATGGTGGACCAGTCAGTGCTATTCCCCCGCTTCAGGGTTGTCAAGAATGTGACAGATGGCTGTTTGTCCTAACTTTGACACTGGACTTTATCTATTTCTTTAGAATGGAACATATCCCATGATTTAAGGTGGGATGTGTGGATTCAGTTTAATGAGTTGTAGCCTGTTTAGACTGAAAAAGAAAATTAAGGGTTTTAACAACTACCCTTTACAACAGAAGTGTGGAGTGCATCTTCCAGATGGGTTTCTGTGCCTTACCAGCATTTCAAACTGTTCTCTAGGAATGTACAATTTTTAAAAACTAAGTTGGGATCAAACCACGCAGACTGTACTACATGCAACATGCTGACATCCTTGTACTTCCATTTCCTCATTTTTTTAAATGGGTACACCCACAGCTCAGCAAGCTTTTCTTTTAACCCCTTGTGAAAGCACTAGAAAATCAAGGCAGTTAAAAAGTTACTGCACATCATCAAATAGTTATCATGACCCAGCAATTCCACTCCTAAATATCTACCCACAAAAAAATGTCTGCACAAAAACTTGTACATGAATGTTCACAGCGGCCAAAGTGGGAACAGCCCAAATATCCACCAACTAATGAATGGATAAATAAAATGTGGCATGGGTTCACATAATGGAATATCATTCAGTTATAAAAAGAATGAAGTACTGATTCATACTATAGTACAAACCTTGAAAACATTATACTGAAAGAGATCTGACACGAATGGCTACATATTTTATGATTCCTGAAATATCCAGAAGAGACAAATTTATAGAGATAGAGAACAGATTAGTGGTTGCCAGGCGTTGAGGGACTGGGCAGGGATGGAGAGCTGCTGCTAATGTATAGGGATTTCTTTCTGGAGGGATGTAAATGTCTTTTTTTTTTTTTTAAAGATTTTATTTATTTATTTGAGAGAGAGAGAATGAGAGAGAGCAAGCTCATGAGAGGGGGGAGGGTCCGAGGGAGAAGCAGACTCCCTGCCCAGCAGGGAGCCCGACGCGGGACTCATCCAGGGACTCCAGGATCATGACCTGAGCCGAAGGCAGTCGCTTAACCAACTGAGCCACCCAGGCGCCCGGGATGTAAATGTCTTAACATTCGTTATGGTGATGGCTGCACAACTCTGAATATACTAAAACTACTGAATTGTACATTTTAAATTGGGGAACTGTACTGTGTGTGAATTGTATCTCGGTAAAGCTGTTATTTCTTTAAAGAAGGGTATTCGGTGGGATTTTATTACAGTAACAGTGTAACGATCAAGTTATACACAATTTATATTCAGTAAACGTTTAGAAATAAATATGTTAATAAAGAACAAACCCATCAAAGAAAACTCACGTGCAAATATCTTTTTGTCTTCCTTTGCACATAGTAAGAGCTCAGGAACTAATCGCTGAAATTGATTGGGCAATCACGTCCACATGAAACCCGAATATTAAAAAGAAAGTGCTTAATGTTAAAAAAAAAAAATCAAGTTTTTATTGACAACATGAGATTCACATTAAAGAAATGCTACCCATACATGTTTATTACCCACTTCATCTCCCTCTTAAAATACTTTTCCCAGGCCAGTGTTGAACCACAGCCCAAACCCACTCACCACATTTCAAACTAAGTGGGAAATGTACAGTAGACAGTGCACAGAAGCAACTGCATGTCACATTGCCTGGACTATAAATAAGTACACTGCAATTTCTGGACCTTACCACCCTACTTAAAAGTCACATTACTTCTAAATCACTACTAACCAATTATATCCCCTCCTAAAGTTAATTTAAGAGGAATTATTTGCATTTGGTATGCCAAATTCTTGCTCCGTTATCTTTCCAGTTTGTTCACTCAAAGAATATTTTAGGTGCTCTTCTAGGTGCTGAAGATACAACAGAGAATTAAAATAGGCAAAACCAAGCAAACATAACCCTGCCTGCATGGAACTTACATTCCAGTAAAACAAAACAAAAAAATGTAAAATTTTATTTTTTCACAAACTCATGTCTTATGAATTAAAAATGAACTGTCAGCATTTGCAAAGAATCCCCCACACTTCTCACCTTGCAGACATGCAGTCCTGGCTAAACACAAAAGTCACAAAGATTTATGAAATATTGGTAGCAGTTTCCAATGACAAGCTTTTCTTTCCTTTTTATACATTTGCCGGGAGCATAAAAACAAACATGATCTATTTTACAAGTTTATTCAAAATCAGAAATCTAAATACTTTACAATTGTGACAGATGACAGTGGTTGTCAAAAGATTTAACAGCCCAGAGTCTTCAAATCATTGAAGTGCCAAATAGTTTTTGCTTTAAATTACGTACAAGGATTCCAATCTCCTTCTAAATATGTAAATCTCAAGTCATTCAATAACCTGAATTGTGTAACAGAAAAATATCGCATCCTCCCAACCTCCAAAAACAAAAGTGCAGTTTAGTACAAAGATCACAACAACTGGTTCAAAAGGGTAACTTTTGGAAACAAAGTCTAAATTCCTTTAAACAATTCAATAATTTAGTGGAAATTTTACAAAGTGGCCAGTAATTCTCTTGCAATTCTTAGGTAATTTTTTTCTCATCACCATCCAAGCTAGGGAAGCTAGTCATACGGGCGAACAGTCAACCTATCCCGAAAATGTAGCCACTTTCAAGTTCCGACTTTCATCTGTAGGCAGAACTCCTTATCTTCAGCAAATTGGCTGGGGCTGAATTCTAGCTAGATGTACACAGGTGGGCTCATCTCCTTCCAGTTATGACCAACTAAAGTGATCTTATTAAGAGATTTACTCCACAGCTTAAGCCCTTAGATACTATGTTTTTCCTACTATGAAAGGGGTATGGTGCATAACAGGGAAGCAATGCTTGCTTGCTTGCTTGCTTACGAATCATACTTTTCCTTCTAGATTTAGTCAATGGAAACCATCTGAGAGGTTTATCTTCCCCAGGATGAAGTTCTGGGGGAAGGCAGGCTTGGTTATCTATAACACCTTGAAGAAAAGATAATCCCCATCCAAATTAAACCAAAAGGAATGTTTTATTATTGGCAAAATCATAAAACAGATTTTACCATCCAAAACCTACTTGGAATTGAAAACACATTCATAAATCCTGTTGAATATAGCTTTCTCTACCACTTCCAGACTACAAATTCTAAGGACTAACAACTTAAGAAACTTGACAGCCCCATTCATAAAAATCTCCCAACCATTATTACAGCAGCAAAGAACCACTGCCTTAGAGCTACACTGAGACTTAGTTTTTGTAAATACGGACAGATAGAGCCTTCTCAAAGGAAATCAAAGACACTTCAATTCTCACGAAAGACTCCCAAGAGGTCACTTCTTGCAACCAACACACACATAAAAATGAACCCAAAGACCAAGACCATAAACCTCACCAGGCTGCAGAAAACATCAGATGAGTAAACAAATAAAAGTAACATTTCAAAAAACAATGCGTGGTCTTGAGTAAATGGGAGGTCAGCCACTCAGCAAAAGCACATGACTCACCCACGGGCCTGAATGTAAGTCTTTTCACTGTCCACTACACCAAAGTGGGATTTCCCATTTTCATCCAAGGCCAGGCCTTGGGGGCAGCTCAGTCGGGTAAAGTTGTGCTGCTTCCGCAGGGGCGGGGCGGGGGTGTCATTTTATTTCGCTGAATCACAACTCCCCCACATCCCCACCCCAAACCACCACCCCGCACCACACAGCGAACAGACCAGGCCGTGGCAAGGACGCCAGCGAACACCGACCGAGCAAAACAAAGCGCCAAGCGCAGGGCTGCCAGGCTGGGAGTGGGTGGGTAGAGGGGGTCAGGTTCGCCCCACACAGCACCTCTCCCACCCACCGGGGTGTCTCCGGGCAGGTGTGCAGCGGCAGCCTCCTCCCTCCACCTGGGGACCAGACCCATTCTCCGCAGAGCTCCCGGGACCGCCGGGAAGGCGAGAAAATGGGGGCGGGGGCGCGCTGCCCCAGCCCGGGCAGGAGGACCCAGTCGCCGAGGTAGAGCGCGCTGAGCCCGGTCCACGTGAGCGCCGGGGCCGCGGCCGCCCCGGGGGCCGCGGCCGGGAACAGCGGCGCCCGCGGCCACCACGCCAGGCCCGGACTTACCGGGGCCGGGCGCGCCGCGGGCCCCGCGACGGCCGCTTCCTCTTCCTCCTCCTCCTCACTTGACAAAATGGCGGCGGCAGGAAGTGCCGGGCGCCTCGGCCCGCCCCCCGCCCGCCCCCGGCCACCCGCCCCGCCGCGGCGCCCGCGCCCCCCGCCCGCGCCCCCGCCCCGCCAGCCGGCCCAAGCCGGGGGACGGCGGCGCCAACGGTCGGGGAGCCGCGAGCGGCCCGGCCACTCCGACGCCAACGGCGCAGGCCGCCCCGGCCCGGTGCAAGCGGCACCGCGCGCGGACGCGGGAGGCCCGCAGGCCCGAGCCCGCGTCGCCCCGGCCTCCCCGCCTCCGCGCCGCGCCGATGGCGTAGGTGCTGGCGCACCGGCCCCATTACGCAATGCAGGTTACGCGGGCCGCGCCGCGGGTCCCGGCCGGCCGCCCCGCGCCGCCCGCCGCCCCGAAGGGCACCGGTCCTCACCTGAGACGCTAGGCCGCACGCCGCCCCCGCCGGCCGCCGGCCGCCCGCCGCCGCCGCCGCCCCCTCCTCTTCGGGCTGCCTGCGCGGCGCCGGGGCCCGCCCGCCGCGCCCGCCGCTCCGCCGCGCTCACAGGCCCCGCTCGCCTGCGGGCACTGCCGGCAGCCGCCGCCGCCGCAGCCACCGCTTCGGCTCCTAGGCTGCGGGAGAGCAGAACAAACAGCCCTGCCGCCGCCGCCGCCGCCGCCAGCGCACTGACGTCACCACGTACGCTGCGCGCGCGGCCCCGCGCCGCCACCCGGCGTGCGCGCCCCGCGACCGCGCCCGGCGCCGGCGAGCTCTGCAGAGCTAGCAGGCGCGAGGTGAGTTGGGGAGGCGGGCCCGCGGGCTTGGGGGGAACCCCTCAGAGGGAGGGCGCAGAGATCTGGCCCACCCAGAGGGGGCACCCCCGCGGACGGAGGGGCGTGACCCTGCGGACCAAGGGAGAGGACCGAGGGGAGACCTATCAGACTGAAGGCTGGGACTGAGGGAAAAGATGCGAAGGCAAAGGGAGACGTCCAAAATTTAAGAAGGGTCGACTGATGAGACCCTCAGCGAGAAGGAGGAAGGTGAGGAGAGACCCCAGAGGCTGACGGCAGAGGCCGAGGAGGGCCCCCGGGTGGGAAGGCGGAAGGGTGTTGAAGGAGGCTGGGACGCTTGGGCCCGTGAGTCGCGACGGGGCGCCGGGCGCAGGGAGAGGGCCGAGGCGACTGTGCGCAGGGCCGCGGCGGCTTCTGTTCCGGCCGGCGTCCGTCCCGGCCCGCAGCTGCGGGGATGCGAAGGCTGCAAGTGCTGGGCCCGGCCCGCGGGGCTGTCCCTCCAGCTGTCCCCCGGCCGTCCCTCAGCCTTGAGCCTCGAAGACAAGTCAGCTCCACAGAACGAAGGGGTTAAGGCTTAGATCGCTTGCAGTTTAAAATGAAGATTCTGGGGCGCCTGGGTGGCTCAGTCGGTTAAGCGACTGCCTTCGGCTCAGGTCGTGAGCCTGGAGTCCCGGGATCGAGTCCCGCATCGGGCTCCCTGCTTGGCGGGGAGCCTGCTTCTCCCTCTGACCCTCCCCCCTCTCATGCTCTCTCTCATTCTCTCTCTCAAATAAATAAATAAATAAAATCTTTAAAAAAAAATAAAAAATAAAATGAAGATTCTGGGGGCGCCTGACTGGCTCACTGGGAAGACCCCGCGACTCTTGACCGCGGGGTCGTGAGTTCGAGCCCCACACTGAGCTGAGAGCTTACTTTAAAAAATTAAAATAAAAAAAATAAAATGATTCTTAAACTTTTCAAATGGGGAAGCAAAAACTTCTTTCCTCTTTGCTCTTATCCTCACTCTTTTAGAACTTTTATTTTTTAAAGATTTTATTTATTATTTTGAGAGAGAGAATCCCAAGCAGACGCCCCACCGAGCTCAGAGCCCCATGCAGGGCTCCATCTCACAACCCTGAGATCATCACCGAGCCGAAATCGGAAGTCCCACGCTCAACCAACTGAGCCACCCAGGGGCCCCACTTTTAGTACTTTCAGTTCCATCTTTTAGAAATCACAAATTCCATTCCTTTAAAAAGTCTACGTAATTAAAAAATTCCCTGATGGCCCCTTCTTCCAAAATATATCAATACACTAGCATAGCAGTCAAACAGTTTTGTCTATGTCATGGTGTTTGCTCATGCTTCAAGGGCAATCATAAATCACTCATGGGTCCTGAGGAAAGGAAAGACTTAAATTTATCTGTTAGCAAAGCCTGAGATAACGAATAATCAAGTGCAAGAAATAAAGGAAGTGATTGTAACTGGATTATTAGTCAACTTCCTTCTAATCACCTGAAATTTGTGACTATCTTTTGGCTCCTTGTTTTGCATGCTCAACAATTTGTGGAAGATGATGGGAAGTGGAAAAAGAATAGGAAAGTACCCAGGGCTATGTGAATATGGAGTAAAAACTTTTTTTTCTTTTTAAGGAAACTAGAATGTATCCATTTTAAGATGTCCTTTCCATGGTTGTCTTCTTGCATTATCTACTTAATTTATTGTTGTTGCTGATAATGTTTTTGGAAGTAATTTGGAGCTTACAGTTTGCAAGTCACATAAAATCTTTCATTTTACTTGAGTCACACTTCATTTAAACAAAATTGTAACATCTAGCTTGATTTACTGGACCAAACTGGAGGGCTTTGGGCTGTTGCTAGAAGTCGATTCCAGCCTGAAAAGAAAATGCAAACTGTAGAGGCAGTTCCAAAAGCTGTTTCCAAAAATCTTTTAGGACAATAATGTCCCATTCTTTTTGTCTTCCATAGTGCAGACCCTAACTCCTTACAGCTTAAACTCAGAAAATGTTTATCCGGTTGAATCAGTTTTATAAAAAGTTTTGTTTTTTGGGGCGCCTGGGTGGCTCAGTCATTAAGCATCTGCCTTCGGCTCAGGTCATGATCCCAGGGTCCTGGGATCAAGCCCCGCATCGGGCTCCCTGCTCCGCGGGAAGCCTGCTTCTCCCTCTCCCATTCCCCTTGCTTGTGTTCCCTCTCTCACTATCTCTCTCTCTGTCAAATAAATAAATAAAATCTTTAAAAAAAAAAAAGTTTTGTTTTTTAATGGTTCACATAATAAGCCCTTTTTCTCTTGTTATTACTGTGTTTGCAATACTAAAAACCAGAAGAGATTTATAAAAATATTAAGGAATGAGGGCGCCTGGGTGGCTCAGATGGTTAAGCGTCTGCCTTCGGCTCAGGTCATGATCTCAGGGTCCTGGGATCGAGTCCCGCATAGGGCTCCCTGCTCCTTGGGAGCCTGCTTCTCCCTCTGCCTCTCTCTCTCTCTGTCTCTCATGAATAAATAAATAAAATCTTAAAAAAAAAAATTAAGGAATGAGACATGAAGTACATACTATAATTCTGAATGATTTTAAATATGCATTATTCATTTTAAATAAAATAATACATGAAACCATTTTAACTGAGCAATGCAAAAGACTATAGAGGAAAAAATAAAGTATCCCTCTTTATGTCTTCCCCTCCCTCACCAGAGTAACCACTGTTATCACTTCTATGTGTTTTAGACCTGTGTGTCTGATGGGACCATACGTGGCTATTGAGTGCCCAAATTGAGATGTGCTGTAAGTGTAAAATACATATTACATTTCAAAGATTTAATAGGAAAAAACATGTAAAATATCTTATTATTTTTTGTATTGACTACATGTTGAAATAATGTTTTATATATTGGATTAAATAAAATATATTTAATTTTACCTGTTTCTTTTTATTTATTTATTTTTTTTTTTATTTTTTTTTTTTAAGATTTTATTTATTTATATGACAGAGAGAGACAGCGAGAACAGGAACACAAGCAGGGGGAGTGGGAGAGGGAGAAGCAGGCTTCCCGCTGAGCAGGGAGCCCGACGTGGGACTCAATCCCAGGACCCTGGGATCATGACCTGAGCCGAAGGCAGACGCTTAACGACTGAGCCACCCAGGCGCCCTCTTTTTACTTATTTATTTAAAGATTTTATTTATTTGTCAGAGAAAGAGAGAGAACACAAGCAGGGGGAGTGGCAGGCAGAGAGAGAAGCAGGCTCCCTGCTGAGCAAGGAGCCCGATTTGGGGCTCCATCTGAGGACCCTGGGATCATGAGGCAGATGCCCAATCGACTGAGCCACCCAGGCGTCCCTCTTTTTACTCTTTTAATGTGGGCTACTAGAAATATAAAATTGCATATACAGCTTGCAACATATTTCTATTGAACAGCACTGGTCTAGACTTTTTTTTTTTAATTTGTGACAACATTTTATTTATTTTTTTAAGTAAGCTCTGTGCCCAACATGGGGCTGTAACTCACTACCACAAGATCAAGAGTTGTATGCTCTACTGATTGAGCCAGCCAGGGGTCCCTTCGTCTTTTTTTGTTGTTGTTAAAGTATAGTTGACACACAGTGTTACATTAGTTTCAGGTGTACAACATAGTTCCACAACTCTATACACTGTCTAGACTTTTCTATGCATCAGTATGTATCCATAGAAATAGTTGTATTGGTATAAAACAAAAGGGAGCATTCTGTACTTGTTAATTTGTAGCATGCTTTTTTCTTTTTTTTTTTTTTAAAGATTTTATTTATTTATTTGAGAGAGAGAATGAGAGACAGCACGAGAGGGAAGAGGGCAGAGGGGGAAGCAGACCCCCTGCTGAGCAGGGAGCCCGATGTGGGACTCGATCCCGGGACTCCAGGATCATGACCTGAGCCGAAGGCAGTCGTTTAACCAACTGAGCCACCCAGGTGCCCGTAGCATGCTTTTTTTCATTTAGTATATCTTAGAAGCCATTCCACATGAGTTCTGCCTAATTGGGAGATAACTCTGAGATGACATACAGTATGTTATCTGGTAGCGGTAGATCATAATTTATTTAACTGTTCCCCCATTTTGAACATTTAATTCATTTTTAGTTTTTCCATCATAATAGTATTACAATGAACATCCTATACATTTACCATTTTCCTTTCATACTTGCCAGCATTTTCCCAGATTAAAAAAATCTGGGATGCCTTGATGGCTCAGTTGGAGCATGCGACTCTTGATCTCAGGGGTGTGGGTTCAAGCCCTACATTGTGTGTAGAGAGCACTTAAAATTTTTTAAAAATCTTTAAAAATGTATTCGTGTTTTCTTAAAAGCAAGGATAAATTTCTAAACCAGATCAGTTTGGGAAGAGCTGGAGGTGTTTGATTTGTTATGACCTGGATCCATGCCCACTTTGAATGAGAACTTGCCCATGGAGTTACATTCTGAAATTAGGGCCTAGAGATGGTGAGCGACTCACCCAAGATCACATATTTACACAGTTTAGAAGTCAAATCTCCAAGACTCCATGAAAACTACCTGCATTTTTCTCTAGCTCCAGAGTTGACAGTTTTTTTCAATATTTGGGGGAAAAAACGGTCGACAATATGTTGTTTTGTGGGCCAATCTATAACATTGCCAATCTTGGCCGCTCTGCCATTGTAGCACAAAACGCAGCTGTAATTAATATATAAATGAACGGGGGCACCTGGGTGGCTCAGTTGGTTAAGCGACTGCCTTCGGCTCAGGTCATGATCCTGGAGTCCCTGGATCGAGTCCCGCATCGGGCTCCCTGCTCGGCAGGGAGTCTGCTTCTCCCTCTCCCACTCCCCGTTTGTGTTCCCTCTCTTGCTGTGTCTTTCTCTGTCAAATAAATAAATAAAATCTTTAAAAAAATATATATATATATATATAAATGAACGGGTGTGGCTATGTCCCAATAAAATGTTATGTATACTAAAATTAGAACTTCATGCCAATTTCAGGAATCACAGAATATATTTTGATTTTTTCTTTTTTGAAGATTTTATTTGTATATATTTATATAAATTACTGTTATATATTATACATAACTATATAATAAATTGTATAGCCCATATATACCATTCTTTGTTGGAAGACTGTACATATACAGACAGCAGTCTAGATTTGTCCCATAGACAGTTTCCGGCTGCCTGCTTTAGACTCTGAAATCTAGAAAATGGAAATTTCTTAACATTCTACAGAAGCTATTCTGCTTGCATTTTTTTGTTAATTCTTTTGTTTTTAGCAGTTTTAGGTTTACATTAAAATTGAGTGGAAAGTACAGAGTTCCCATATACTCCCTTACTTCCCCTCTCCACTTCCCCCATTATTAATATGCATAGTGTGGTACATTTGTTACAGTTGATGAGCCAATATAGATACGTGATTATTAACTGAAGTCCATAGTTTACATTAGGGGTCACTCTTTGTATTGTATATTCTAGGAGTTGTTTTTTTAAAGATTTATTTGAGAGAGAAAGAGCCAGCACAAGTGGGCGGGCAGAGGGAGAGGGAGAAGCAGACACAGACTCCCTGCTGAGCAGGGAGCCCGATGTGGGGCTCAATCCCAGGACTCAGATCATGACCTGAGCCGAAAGCAGATGCTTAACCATCTGAGCCACCCAGGTGCCCCTATTCCATGAATTTTGACAAATGTGTAATGACATGTATGCACCATTATGCTTGCCCAATTTTAACTCATAAACTAGCTAGGAACAAAAATAAGCTTCAGAGTAGAACACTGCAATTCTGTCAGCCACAAACAGGTGCATGATAGCCCTAAGGGTAATTTTTAGTCTCCAATACTTCGTTATTTTGTGTTTTGCTGTGTTTTTGCTTAGTTTTGAAGTGTTTGACAAACATCATTCACTGCCACACTCAAAATAATGAGATACTGGAAGACCTAGTATGGAGTGCCATATAATTGCAATTTAAAAAAAAAAAAAAGGAAGTGATTTAAAAAAAAGTTTAAAAGTGGAAAGAAAATGCAAATGTTGCACATGGGATAAAACCACCCAAAAAAAAACCACCCAAGAAGAAGGAATCTGGAGGTCAATGAATGATAGCAGGAGCACTCATATACTGCTCATCATTTGGTTCAGTCATTTTAGAAAACAGTTTGGCCTTATCCGGTGAAGTTGAAGCTCTGCATACTCTGGCCCACTGATTCCAATCCCTTGGAAACTTGCTGATAAGCTGAAGAAGGTTCGGAACAGCTGTGTTCTGAAGGTCCCACCCTGAAGACAAGCCAAATGTTCACCCACGGCAGGATGAATAGATTGTAATATGAAGATGAACTAACCACAACCACTTGGGACAACATGGATGAATCTTGCAAACATAATGGGAAATCAAAGAAGCAAGGCCCATGTGTGTATGTGATGATTCCATTGCTATGTTGATTTTTAAAGCAGAAAAATAGACTGAAGTTTGGGGGGAATTAAAACTATAAGGAAAAACAGTCACCAGTGGTTGCCAGAGAGGGTGACCAGGAGGGGATGAGGGGGTGGGTGGGCATGGCCAGTATTTGAATGTGGTAAAAAAAAACAAAGAAAAAAAAGCATGAGATCTACGCTCTTACTTTTTTTTTTTTTTTAGATTTTATTTATTTATTTGACAGAGAGAGACACAGTGAGAGAGGGAACACAAGCAGGGGGAGTGGGAGAGGGAGAAGCAGGCTTCCCGCCGAGCAGGGAGCCCGATGCAGGGCTCCATCCCAGGACCCTGGGATCATGACCTGAGCAGATGCTTAACGACTGAGCCACCCAGGCGCCCCTACCCTCTTACTTTTTTAAATGTATGCTATAGTGAACTATAAGCACAATGTTGTATTGCAGGCCTGTAGAGCTTTTTCATCTTACATGAATGAAGAGTGTTCCACTTCCTGACTCTGCTTTAGCTTTGTAATTCCACTATAGCTATGTTTGATGCATATTTTGTTTCAATTTATTTGTTTTTTTTTTTGTTTCAATTTTTTTAAAGATTTAGAGAGAGCACGCATGCACACTAGTAGGGGGAGGGGCAGAGGGAGAAGGAGAGAGAGAATCTTAAGCAGACTGCACCGAGCATGGACCCCAACACAGGGCTCCATCCCACAATCCCGAAATCATGACCTGAGCAGAAACCAGGAGTCAAGATGCTTAACCGACTGAGCCACCCAGGTGCCCCTGTGTTTCCATTTTTTAAGGAAAGAATGAATGACATATGTAAAGAAAACTGCCTGAGCAAGAAAAGTAAACAGAAAAGGCAAATGAGGGCACCTGGGTGGTTTAATCATTAAGCGTCTGCCTTTGGCTCCGGTTATGGTCCCAGGGTCCTAAGATCGAGCCCCGCATTGGGCTCCCTGCTCGGCAGGAAGCCTGCTTCTCCCTCTCCTACTCCCCCTGCTTGTGTTCCCTCTCTCGTTGTGTCTCTCTCTGTCAAATAAATAAACTCTTTAAAAAAAAAAGGAAAAAAGAAAAGGCAAATGATGCAGTTGCAATGTACAAACTTCTGAATGTGTGGCCAGGAAATGAGCTGCATTGTAAGACACCCTCTAGTTTAAGACTCACGCAGGAGGCTTGTGATTCCAAAGCTTGGAGGCTGCTAAAAGTGTTGCTGATAAAATTTCGGTCATGAGCCCCTGACGGCCTCATGAGTTCAAGGCCTTGTGGAATCATGGCATCAGAATGAGTGGCAGCGAGCCAAGCGAGGCTGCTCCAGCTGCTAAAAACATTCTCTTTGGCATTTGCTGAGTAAGGAAGGTTTCTTGCCTTGACCTATTTTCACCAACGTAGAAAACAGGCTATTGTGGGGAAGGATGCCTGATAAAACTTATTTTAGCAGAGACTCCATGAGTAGGCCTGTTTTTAAAGCTTTGTACGAATAACCTGCTCTCATCAGTCTAAATACATGTGAGGACTGAAAGCCTACATTTCTTTTGTTCCTTTCATCTTCAAAATAAATGGGCTGATGAAGCAGGCACTTGGAATTTAATATAAGAAGAGCATCTATAGGGGCACCTGGGTGACTCAGTTGGTTAAGTGTCTGCCTTCAGCTCAGGTCATGATCTCAGGGTCCTGGGATTAAGCCCTGTGTCTGGCTTCTCTGTGTGTGTGTCATATGAATGAATGAAATCTTAAAAAAAAAAAAAAAAAGCATCTCTATCTGGAATTGTACTAGTATTATGTGATAGCAACTTTCAACGATGGCTCCCAATGATTCCCCACGCTTATGTGATCTCCCCTTGAGTGTGGGCTGGATTTAGGGATTTGCTGGTAATGAGATTCTGTCAGAAGTCATGGGATGTCACTTTCATGATCAGGTTACAGAAGATTGGCTTTCATCTAGCTGGACTCTCTTTTGCCTTTTCAGCTTGCACATTCTGATGAAGCAAGCTGCCGTATAGGAGAGGCCCATGTGGCAAGGGGCTGAGGGTAGCTTCTGGTCAATAGCCAGCAAAGGAGCCAAAGCCCTCAGTCCAACAGCTACAAGGAACTTAGCTCTGCTAACCACCACATGGACAAGACTTCACACAAGACCACAGCCTTGGCCAACATTTTGCAGCCCTATAATTCCAACTAAGGACTCAGCTAAGCCACACCTAGATTCCTGACTCCCAGAAATTGTGAAATAATAAACACTTTTAATTTTAAGCCAACAACTTTTGGAGTAATTTGTTATGCAGCAATAGATCACTCATACATCCTGGGGCCAAATCTCCCCTTTCCTTAGAGAAGATACACTTCAGCTTTAGCAGGATTGATGAATATTGGCAAGAAAATTCTTCCTCCTCCCAGAATATTCCCTTAGCTTCATCTGTTTTTGCCATTATTGAGCTAGACCAAGTATATTTCAAACATGGGAAAATTGTTGTGGTTTTAGCTCTTTTGAGACAACCAATACTGTCATTTTCATTGTCCTCCAATGGGAAGGAATTAGGGACTTGTTGTCTCTAAGGAGGCTACAGTTTTTCTCATGGGGACCATTGTAGTAGACACTTCATTCTGAAGTTAATCCTTGGCCCTTGGGGGTTGTCTAAAGAAGAATTCTTTTAGAGATAATTTTGTGGCAGCAAACAAAGGGAAATTTGTGATGCATTTGTGAGCTCCTTATCTTCACTATTTAATGAGATGTTCCCAAATCTTTGTAGTCCTCTAAGAAGCTAAAATCCCTGGGCATTTCCGATGGGGAAGTTTGACGATTTGTTCTCATAGATATCTTTGGGCAGGTTACTGAACAAAATCTTGGTATTTGCACCCACAATCCTGGGCCAGGCAGGCACTAAAATACCCACCTTGTTGACCTGTGACTCATGAACTTAGATTCCCGAAAGGAAATATTATATCCTTTATGTTCTTTATTCAAAGAATCCAACTTAAATGGATTGGCTGGAATTAGAGTTCTATTTGCAGGAAGTTTGGAGAAAGATTATTGAGGATATAAACAACTTTAAAAAGAAATGTTATAAGGATACCAACATTGTACTGGAAGTTCTAGCCAGAGTAATCAGGAAAGAAAAAGATAGAAAAGGCATCCATATACAAAGGAAGAAGTAAAACTATTCTATTCACAGATGACATGATCTTATATGTGGAAAATCCTAAAGAATCTACCATAAACAAATTCAGCAAAGTTTCAGGATACAAGATCACACAAAAATCAGCTGTATTCCTACCTTCCTTCCTTCTCTCCCTCCTTCCTTCCTTCCTTCCTTCCTTCCTTCCTTCCTTCCTTCCTTCCTTCCTTCCCTTCTCCTCTTTCTCCTCCTCCTCCTCCTCCTCCTCCTCCTTCTTCTTCTCCTTCTAGAAAGATGGAGGGGCAGAGAGAGAGAATCTCAAGCAGGCTCCATGCCCAGCACAGACCCCAACTCGGGTCTCAATTCCACGACCTTGAGATCATGACCTGAACCAAAGTCAAGATTTGGGTGCTTAACTGACTACACCACCCAGACTGACTAAGCCACTCAGGCGCCCCCAAAGTCAGTCGTATTTCTATATACTAGCAATAAATAATCCAAAAATGGAATTAAGAAACCACTCCATTGAGCACCCGGGTGGCTCAGTTGGTTAAGCGGCTGCCTTCGGCTTAGGTCATGATCCTGCAGGCCTGGGATCAAGTCCCACATCTGGGCTCCCTGCTCAGTGGGGAGTCTGCTTCTCCCTCTGCTCCTCTCCCCGTTTTCTCTCTCTCTCTTTCTCTCATTCTCATGTGCACACGCACACAAATGAAGTAATTAAAATCTTAAAACCCACTCCATTTACAATAGCATCAAGGAATAAAATACTTAGGAATATATTTAACCAAAGAAAGGTAGAGGGAGCCTAGGTGGCTCAGTCAGTCTGGGTGGCATAGTCAGTTAAGCATCCAAATCTGTCTTCGGCTCAGGTCATGATCCTGGAGTCCTGGGATCGAGCCCCGCATTGGGCTCCCTACTCTGCGGGGAGTCTGCTTCTCCCTCTCCCTCTGCTGCGCGCTCTCTCTCTCTGTCAAATAAATTAAAAAAATTTTTTTTTTAAAAAAAGGTAGAAGTTATACACTGAGAACTACTAAACACTACTTACAGAAATTAAAGTAGATCTAAGTAAGTGGAAAAACATCAGTGTTCATGAATTGGAAAACTTACTAGTGTAAAGATGGCAGTATTCCCCAAAGTGATCTATAGATTCAATGTAATTCCTATCAGAATACAGCTGGCTTCTTTGTAGAAATTGATAAGCTGACTCTTAAATGAATATGGAAACTCAAGGGACCCAGAATAACCAAAACAATCTTGAAAAAGAGGAAGAAAGGGGGCGCCTGGGTGGCTCAGTTGGTTAAGCGACTGCCTTCGGCTCAGGTCATGATCCTGGAGTCCCTGGATCGAGTCCCGCATCGGGCTCTCTGCTCGGCAGGGAGTCTGCTTCTCCCTCTGACCCTCCCCCCTCTCATGTGCTCTCTCTCTCTCATTCTCTCTGTCAAATAAATAAATAAAATCTTTAAAAAAAAAAAAAAAAAGAAAAAGAGGAAGAAAGTTGGAGGATTCACAGTTCCTGATTCCGAATCATCATACAAAGCTCCAGTGTGAAACTGGCATAAGGATAGATATATAGAATAATAGAATCAAATTGAGTGGCCAGAAATAAACCCATGTAGCTATAGTCAACTGACCTTTGACAAGGGTGCCAAGACCATTCAGCAGAAAGAATGGCGTCTTTAACAAATGGTGCTGGGACAACCAGATATTCACATGGGATACAATGAAGTTGGACCCTTATGTCAGAGGAGAGGGAGAAGCAGGCTCCCCACGGAGCAGGGAGCCCGATGTGGGGCTCGATCCCAGGACCCCCAGATCATGACCTGAGCCAAAGGCAGACGCTTAACTGACTGAGCCACCCAGATGCCCCTAAAAACCATAGAATTCTTAGAAGAAAATGCAGGGGTGCATCCTAGTGGCCTTAGATTTGGCAATGATTTCTTACATAAGATGTTCTTAAGTGTCTGCCTTCAGCTCAGGTCATGATCCCAGGGTACTGGGATCAAGCCCCGCATCAGGCTCCCTGCCCAGTAGGGAGTCTACTTCTCCCTCTCCCTCTGCTGCTCCCCCTGCTTGTGCTCTATCTCTGTCAAATAAATAAAATCTTAAAAAAAAAATACCAAAGTACAAGCAACAAAAGAAAAAATAAATATAAATTGGACTCGATGAGAAAGAAAACAACTTTTGCATCCAAGGACACTACTAAGAGAATGAAGAGTCCAGAATGGAAAAAAATATATATTTGCAAATCATATCTGATAGGTGTCTAGTATCCAGAATATATAAAGAACTCCTACAACTTAACAAAAAGACAACTCAATTAAAAAATAAGCAAAGAGGGGCCCATGAGTGGCTCTGTCCGTTAAGCATCCCACTCTTGAATTCAGCTCAGGTCATGATCTCAGGGTCCTGGGATCAAGCTCTGTGTCAGGCTCCATGCTGGGTGTGGAGCCTGCTTGGGTTTCTCTTTCTCCCTTTCCCTCTGCCCCTCCCCACAAGGCGCTCTCTCTAAAAAAAAAAAAAAAAAAAAGGCAAAGAACTTGAATAGACATTTCTCCAAATGTAAACAAATGGCCAACAAGCACATGAAGGAATGTCCACTATCAGGAGTCATCAGGGAAATGTAAATCAAAACTACAATGAGATACCACTTCACACCTGCTAGGGTGGCCAGAATTGGAAAAAAAAAAAAAAAAAAAGGGAAGTCTCAGTAAGGATGTGAAAAAATTGGAACTCTTGTACATTTCTGATGGCAATGTAAAATGGTGCAGCTATTGTGGGGGGAAAAATGTGGTTCCTCGAAAAATTAACCATAGAATTACCATGTGACATAATTCCACTCCTAGGTGTGCATATCCCAAAGAATTAAAAACAGGTACTCAGGGCGCCTGGGTGGCTCAGTTGGTTAAGCGACTGCCTTCGGCTCAGGTCATGATCCTGGAGTCCCTGGATCGAGTCCCTGGATTGAGTCCCGCATCAGGCTCCCGGCTCGGCAGGGAGCCTGCTTCTGCCTCTGACCCTCCCCCCTCTCATGTGCTCTCTCTCTCTCATTCTCTCTGTCTCAAATAAATAAATAAAAACAATCTTAAAAAAATAAATAAATAAATAAAAGCAGGTACTCAGATACTTGTTCAAGAATGTTCCTAGCAGCGGGGCGCCTGGGTGGCTCAGTTGGTTAAGCAACTGCCTTCAGCTCAGGTCATGATCCTGGAGTCCCGGGATCGAGTCCCACATCGGGCTCCCTGCTCGGCGAGGAGTCTGCTCCCTCTGACCCTCCCCCCTCTCATGCTCTCCCTCTCTCATTCTTTCTCAAATAAGTAAATAAAATCTTTAAAAAAAAAAAAAAAAGAATGTTCCTAGCAGCACTATTCACAATAGTCAAAACGTGGGAGCTCAAATATCTCTTATTGGATGACTGGATGAACAGATGTGGTATATACACATGCAGTGGAGTAGTGTTCAGCCATAAAATAGAATGATGTATGGATTCAGGCTCCAGCATGGAGGAACCTCAAAAACATGCTTCGTGAAAGAAGCCATAGTGAAAAGGTCACGTACTGTATGGTTCCCTGAACATGAAGCACATCCAGACCAAATAAATCCAGAGATGGAAAGCAGATTACTGGTCGTCAGGGGATGGGGGAGGGAGGAATGGGGTTAGTGCCAGTGGGGAGGCAGTTTCCTTTAAGGGCGAGGAGAATGTATGGGAACGAGTTGTAGGTACAGGCTGTACAACATTGTGAGTGTACCCGATGCCACGGCATTGTCCGCTTTAAAATGGCTATTGGAGGGGCGCCTGGCTGGCTCAGTCCATGAAGTACGGGACTCTCGATCTTGGGGTTGTCAGTTCAATCCGCACTTTGGGTGTAGAGATGACTTAAAAGCTTCAAAAAATTTAAAAAATAAAGTGAATGGCTCATTTTGTTACGTGAATTTTACCTCTAAAGAAAAAATGTTGGGGCGCCTGGGTGGCTCAGTCATTAAGCGTCTGCCTTCGGCTCAGGTCGTGATCCCAGAGTCCTGGGATCGAGCCCCACATCGGGCTCCCTGCTCGGCGGGAAGCCTGCTTCTCCCTCTCGCACTCCCCCGCTTGTGTTTTCTCTCTCACTGTCTCTCTCTCTCTCTCTCTGTCAAATAAATAAATAAAATCTTTAAAAAAATAAATAAACAATTGCTAGGGGCGCCTGGGTGGCTCAGTTAAGCGTCTGCCTTCAGCTCAGGTCATGATCTCAGGGTCCTGGGTTCAATTCCTGCATCAGGCTCCCTGCTCAGCCGGAGTCTGCTTCTCCCTCTCCCTCTGTCTCCCCAGCTCATTCTCTCTCTCTCATAAATAAATAAAATCTTTAAAAAAAAAAATTACTAGAGGGGTGCCTGGGTGGCTCAGTCATTGAGCGTCTGCCTTCTGCTCAGGTCATGATCCCAGGGTCCTGGGATCGAGCCCCGCATCGGGCTCCTGGCTCAGCGGGGAGCCTGCTTTTCCCTCCCCCACTCCCCCTGCTTGTGTTTCCTCTCTCACTGTCTCTCTCTCTCTCTGTCAAATAAATAAATAAAATCTTGAAAAAAGAAAAAAAAAATGTTGAGCTCATCAAACCACTTTGTCAACAGTGCCGAATGTTTACGATCTCATTCAGTTCTGACAACCAACCCGGTGAGAGTGGATTGCCCCCTCCCCACCATATTGTCCTCCAAGCTGAATTCTAATTCATCTATATAAATTATACCTGCACCAGATAGTGTTTTGAGAGGAGGCAGGAGGTACCTAGACCGTAAGTCTGTTTGTTGAAAACCAACCTCATTGGTCTCAGTGTCCTTGTAAAAGATAAAGGAAGTGACCCAGTAATTTTTCCTTTTTTAAAAATATTTTATTTATTGGTTTGACAGAGAGAGAGCACAAGCAGGGGGAGCAGCAGAGGGAGAGGGAGAAGCAGGCTTTCCGCGGAGCAGGGAGCCCGATGCGGGGCTGGATCCCAGGACCCTGGGATCATGACCTGAGCCGAAGACAGACGTTTACCTGAGCCACCCAGGCGCCCCCCCAATACTTTCGCAATGGTCCAAGAGCTATCGGTATTAAATCAGTGTAAAGCCACACCGTGGATTTCCCACTCCCATCTGTTTACGAAATGCTCCAAGGAGACTACTTCCAAAAAATGCTAAAAGGCTTATCTGTTGGTTCTGAAGTTCTACTTGAACTTCACTGTGCCTGTCTAATCACTACTGGACACACTTCTAGTGAGCAAGGACCACTTTCAGCCAGGTTGTTGGGCAGTGGAAATGGTTTTTTTATGATCCAAAATTTAATTGGAGAGGACTTGTAATACTGTGCCCTTTTTTTCTTGAGAGGGGGAGGGGCAGAGGGAGAGAGAGAGAATCCCAAGCAGGCTCCATGCCCAGTGAGGAGCCCAAGGCCAGGCTCAGTCTCACGACCCTGGGATCATGACCTGAGCCGAAATCAAGAGTCGGACACTTAAGTGACTAAGCCACCCAGGCGCCCCAGACTATGCACTCTTTTACTTTTAGTAATCTCTACATATAATGAATGTGGGGCTTGAACTTACAACCCTGAGATCAAGAGTCACCTGTTCTCCCAACTGAGCCAGCCAGGTGCCCCTGATGCACTCCTGAACGAGGACTTCGCTCATTACACTGTGGTGTTTACCCTTTAGCAACTGTATTAATTTCATAAAAACCCCAATGAAATCACACAGGCCCACAGTAGGATTACATGAAGCTGACATCAGGCTGCCATTCCTAAGATCTTTCTGCTTGGGAGTAGCGGGGATTGCCAAATTCTGTAAACCGTTTCATTTATTTTTCTGAAGATTTTTATTTATTTGAGAGAGTGCAAGCAGGAGGGGGGAGAGGGAAAAGCAGACTCGATGCAGGACCTGATCATGACCTGAGCTGAAGGCAGCTGCTTAACCAACTGAGCCACCCAGGTGCCCCTAAAACTTTTTTTTTTTTTAAGATTTTATTTATTTATTTATTTGAGAGAGAGAATGAGAGAGAGCATGAGATGGGGGAGGGTCAGAGGGAGAAGCAGACTCCCTGCCAAGCAGGAAGCCGGATGCGGGACTCAATCCCGGGACTCCAAGATCATGACCTGAGCTGAAGGCAGTCGCTTAACCAACTGAGCCACCCAGGCGCCCCACTTTTTTTTTTAAGATCTTTTAGTTATTTGAGAGAGAGCACAAGCAAGGGAAGTGGCAGAGGGAGAGGGAGCAGACTCCCCACTGAGCAGGGGGCCCCCTGGGATCATGACCTGAGCTGAAGGCAGACGCTTAACCCACTGAGCCACCCAGGCACCCCAACCCCCAAACCTTTTTAAATAAAGGTGCTCTATATAAAGTTCATGGCCATTGGTGTCTCACAGATCTGTGTATTGATTTGGGTTATCTTTGATAGATGACCCTAGAAGTTACTGAACCTTCCCCTCTGGTTTCTCCTCTGCAAGTGGGAAATGACAGAAGACAGCTTGCAGTTTATTCCTGTCCCCTCAGGAGACAGAAGGGCATCCCTTTGTGCAAGCCAAGGAGTTACGCCCATCTCGGGGAACGAGGGCCTCGTTTAAGCCAAGTTGAGAAGTAAAATGATTCGTGTCCTTCCACATTGGGTGAGGGGGAAGAACCGCTGTGAAATTTAGATCGGTTTAAGGATAGGCCTTGGATTACATTTACAAGAGAGACAAACCAGAGCAGTTTCATAGTTCTGTTATCCTTTTTGAGACTACGGATGTTCAATGCCACCAGCCTTTTTGCCTCAAGAGAAGAAACTTCAGAGGGCACGCACAACCGGTGACTAAGGCCCATCTATGTAACAGCAGTGACGACGGGCGCAAACAATTCAGAGACACCATTTTTTTGCTTACTGAGCAATTTATTGGTTTCTAATTCTTATATGGACTTTTCATAAATATTCATCTCACATCTCTAATAAAGGTCCTTGAGAGCAGGGCCCATCTCTTACTTTTATCATGAATTAGCACCTGGTACACAGGAGATGCTCGAGTCTTTTACCATCTAGTAAATTCCCTCTGGCCAATGCTTCCCCCAGTGAGACGGTTCAAGGGTTTGCAGGGAAAACAGACCCAGCAGTATCATTTCAAGAGCGAAGTCATCTTCCACTTCTTTGGATTATATGAGAGTGTAACTGTTGTTGCTTGCTACCCTTTAACACATGCTACCTTTCCTTGCCCACAGATTCAGAAACCTCCAAAGGAATAGTATCCATCTGAAATGTGTTTATTTCACTATATTCATTTCTTACAGATAGCATCTATCTATAGCAATTTATGTATCTTCCATTCGTGGGAGTGACACCAAGTTGTTTTTGTGTTGTTTTTTTTAATATATTTAAGGAGTAGTAACTCAATTTAAAGGGAAAACAAAAACAAAAACCCCTCAAGTAACAGAGGTGGAACACAAATGAGGTTAAAAAAAAAAAAAAGACCAACACAAAAAACCTCCAAACAAACTATAAAGGTGATTCGCCGAAGACTGAAGATTGGGAAAATAATGCCCAAGGCAAAGCGTCCTCTTTCTTGAGGGGCAGTGGGAGGGCGTCCAGGGGTGCAGGCCTATCAGATTCACGAGTCTCGTGAGGCCCACACACCATACGCGGTATGCTACCAAAGCAGGTCAAAAACCGAAGCCAAGCCCATTCTTAAAACTTAAAAAGAAAAAAAAAATCCTGTATAAAGCAAGATATATCCCAATATTGAGCTGTTCTCAGAAAAAAAAATAAAAATAAAAAGGGCGTTCAGCCACTTGCTGTATTTAACAAGTGAAGTATCATCAAAATCTAATTAGCCAACTTTTATTATTTCATCTGCAGCGCAGAGACTTCACAGCCACTTGGGGGAATGTACAACTTCTGCAGCCTGCGAACCAAGGCCGAAAAAGCCATACAACTCTAGAAGACAAGCCCACGAGGTACACTTTGTTGAAGCAAGTGGCCGGGTCTCCTCACCGAAGTTTCCAGCATGTTCCAGTAACACACACCCTAGTTCTGCTTACAAACAAAAGGAGAAAAAGAGCAATGCGTTATGAAACCCATCCCTTGCAACAGGGACGAGGGTCATTCTGTGGGAAGGACAGCTTTGGGTTCTGCATCAGTCTGTTCTGCTTTGGCTTCAGTGACGGCCGGGGCCGGGGCCGCGACCCCCACAGTGCCTTCTGCCTCTGCTGCGGCCGCTTGCACTTCCCGTCTGGCCTCTGCGGCTTCCCCTCCAGCCTCCGCTTCAGTGCTGCCCTTCTCGGAGGCCCCGCCACCCGGCGTCTCCACTTCCAGCGGCTGTTCAGAGTGGGGACCGCGAGGGGCCTGGGCCGCGTCCACAGGGCCTTCCCCTTCGGCCAGCGTGTCACTGCCTTCCGGAGCCAGCGCTCCTTCCCCATCTACCGCTCTCACTGCTGCCGTAATGACCTCGGCCAACACCTCCGCGGCCACCTCCTCGGGTGTCTCCTCCTTCTCCTCGCCTCCTAAATTGTCATCCCCTTCGATTTCTGGATCGACAGCCTCACTGGTGAAAGGGTCTTCACCCTGGCCAAGAAGAGCAACATGTCAGTGCAAAGGGGAGACTGCAGGGGGCCCAGGTTGCCGGGAATCCGTGTTTTTAGGCTGAAGAGCCAATGAGAGAAACACGTCCCACTACAGGTGAGTGTTCCCATGGGCGCTCAGCGCCTTCAAATTCAGAAAAGGTTCTCAGAAAAGCCTCACCGCAACCGTTTTCGCACCTTTTGCCTTTTAGCTTTTATTTTCTTACTTAGTTAGCTAGGACCTAGAGCAGAATGAGAAAGCAGAATCAGGGGCTATTCTTTTTTTTTTTTTTTAAAGATTTTATTTATTTATTTGACAGAGAGAGACACAGTGAGAGCAGGATCACAAGCAGGGGGAGAGGGAGAGGGAGAGGGAGAAGCAGGCTTCCCGCGGAGCAGGGAGCCCGATGCGGGGCTCGATAGCAGGACCCTGGGATCATGACCTGAGCCGAAGGCAGACGCCCAACAACTGAGCCACCCAGGCGCCCCTCTTGTTTTTAATACTAGTAATTTTGATATTCGCAATGGGTATTTTTTTTTTTTAAAGATTTTATTTATTTGAGAGAGCAAGAATGAGAGACAGAGAGCACGAGAGGGAAGAGATCAGAGGGAGAAGCAGACCCCCTGCCGAGCAGGGAGCCCGATGCGGGACTCGATCCCGGGACTCCAGGATCATGACCTGAGCCGAAGGCAGTCGCTTAACCAACTGAGCCACCCAGGCGCCCTGCAATGGGTTTTTGAAAGATGTACTTCTCCCCCCTCATTCAAAGACTTTTATTTTTGAATGAAGTATTTACAAATAAAATTTATTATTTATTTTAAAGATTTTTAGTTATTTATTTGAGAAAGAGAGAGAGGGATGCCTGGGTGGCTTAGTCGATTAAGAGTCTGCCTTAGGCTCAGGTCATGACCCCTGCTCAGTGCGGAGCTGGTTCTCCCTCTGCTGCAGCTCCCCCTGCTTGTGCTCTCTCGCTCTTTCTGACAAATAAATAATATAATCTTAAAAAAGAGAGAGAACAAGAGAGCGAGCATGGAGGGGAGAGGCAGAGGGAGAAGCAGACTCCCTGCCAAACAAGGAGCCCGATGTGGGACTCAATCTCAGGACCCTGGGATCATGACCTGAGCCAAAGGCAGACGCTTAAGGGACTGAGCCACCCAGCCGCCCTGATTTACAAATATTTAATACAACTGCCCCCGTTTTGCACTTTTTATTCAAGCATATAATAATGAAGAAAAGTTCAAAAAGACCTAGGATTTCTTAACCCAATTGAAACAAAAAAGCCTCGTAACAGGAAGTTAAGACTATTTTAAATTTTAGTTTCATTTAAGCATAGCCCTGGTTATAAGGGTGCCCCATTTTGAAGATAAGGAAAGGAGACTCAGCAAGTTGCCCAAGGCCACACAACTGTTGAACACCAGTCAGGAGGAATCCAAGTCTGACTCTCAGAAGCCAAACTTAGGCTAAAAACGGTCTCTAGTTTAGAAAACGTAAACATTATCATCGGCAGATTAAGAAATAGGTTTTAAAATACAGTATTTAGGGGGCACTTGGCTGGCTCAGTCAGGGGAGTGCACAACTCTTGATCTCAGGGTCATGAGTTCGAGCCCCACATTAGGTGTAGAGATTACTTAAGAAAAAAAAATATCTTTAAAATAAAAAAAATGAAAACAAAACACTGACCAGTCACGGTTCTTAAATTGGTTATTCAGAGTCTATGCCTTTAACTGGCTGGCAGGAAGTGTCAAGTACTGAAGGGTTTAGTAACTGAGAGGTGGGCAAACGGGTCCTCGTAGTAGGGCCCTGACGGCGCTTAACTACACACTCCCCACATGGAAGTCTGGGGCTGAGCGTTTAGCACGTAGGGCTTCCCCAGAAGGACCCAGGGGCTCTCCCAGCTGGACTTCTCTCCAGGGTGCCCTCTTTGGGATTCTCTATTACTCTGCTCCCATCACTAAGGCTCAGTAGCTGCCGTACCGCTGGCTCTTCCTCCCCCCTCATGTTCTTGGCTCATGGCTACTGGTCTCTGCCAGCAAAACCTCTTTTTGGCTTCTTTCCTGGACAACCATTATCTAACCTGGATCTCCCTGTAAGCACCTCAGCATCACTTGCTCAGTATTTTGTGGGTATTCGAGGTTTCTCATGGTGAGCTTGCACCAGCAAACAGACCAATCAAGCAGGACCACGTCCCAGAGCCAGGGCGAGCAGGGAGGTGCAGAAAACCCACCCTGATACATTCCTGCACCCCGTCCATTCTTCTTAAGACTCAGAAATGCTAAACACTGCACTCTGCATGCAACTCCACACTCGCAGAGTTCATCCTGCATTCCAGAACCTTTTCCCGTCTGCTGCACTCCTAAGCACAAACCTTGAGGTATTTTTCCAGCATCTTCACTATGTGTCTGTTGTTCAAAACACTCTTAGCCACATGGAGACTGGTCTTCTTGAACTGTTCAGCAGCCAACTGCAAAGGGAACCAAAGGGACTTTTACACATGGGATGCACAGAGGAGCAAGAACACCAACTAGCCAGGCTCCACTGAGTTGCCCTGGGATCAGCCCAAGACAGAACAAGGACTACCATCTCTCTCCACTGTGGCAAATCCCAAGATGCCAGACTCTAATAAGGAGAGAAAGAAGGCCCTGGAGGGATACCGGAACTGAGACCGTGAGGCAGTGCAGGAAAGTCTGATAAAAGATAAAAAGCACAGGCATGCCACGGACATTCGGGTCCCGCGTGCATGAACAAGGATGGAACAAGAACACTTACAGACGACGGGTGCTATGTGGGCTGGGTATGGCAGAAGGGCAAGTTTTTTCTTTTCAGTTTTCGGAGTTATAGTGACCTTACAAGTAAATTCAGCTGCAGAAGTAGGAATGCTGCAACCATTTGGCTCTTTTAGAGCTTGACCCATTCAAACGGTAATCCCTTGTCGGTATAGTGCTCTTCAGATGATCTTTCATAAGCTAGCAAGTGCGCGGGCAGGACTAAGGATAGGTGCTGAATCAGGGCTCAGCAAGCTAGAGCCTATGGGCCAAATGCGGCCACGCGCATGCTTTCTATCTGGATTCTGCTGCCTCTGCCCACCAGCAGCGGACCTGAGGTGGTAGAGACCCCGTGGCCTGCAAAGCCAAAAATGTTTGTGATTTGACCCTTTATAAAAGAAAAAAAAATCTGCGCATACCCTGAGCTAGCTACACACCTAGCCTCGGGTCCCATCAGCTAATTAGGACCAAATCAGTTAACTCTGGGTCCCCTAGGCCACTGTGTTCTGAATGGCCCTCAGCCTCCGCTCCCAGAAAATCCAGTTTGTCAGCAACTGGGAAACTTACCTGTGTGGTTTACCAAGGAACATTCTCAACCAGGAGAATTTCAGCTACTCTATTTAAGTCAACCCTAAGCAACACATTTTTTCACATTTTAGTAGAAACTGGGATCCCTTTTACAACCCATTGATGAAATCACAGACTTGGTGGACTCTGTTCTGTCAAGAGCTTCTAAAGATGCTAGCATTCCCCACAAGACACAGAAGGCTCTAGGCCCCACTGCTGGCCGCCTGCAGGTGCTCGCCCGGCCCGGCCCAAGGAGGGGACTCACCCTGCGGTTATGATTGTGGTCCACCGAGTGCAGGTGCCGCTGGAGGAGCTGATGCTGTGCGGGGATCAGCATGTCACAAGCCAGGCAGTGAGCGGCCTCTATCTTCTTGAAAAAGTGCTCCTGGCCAATCCCTGTAGACACAACCCAAGTCTGGTGCGATCTGGGGCAGCAGGCAAGGGATGCTCTCCTCCTGCCCCCCAAAAGGGCCCCAATTTTCTGCCGGTAGTCCCGCAGGACCAGGTGAAGACCGAATCTGTGGGGGACATCACCTGCCCTCCAGCAGGAGCGTGCAGACAGAAGCACCTCTACACCTGGGCATCTGACTCTTCAACTTTTTTCATCCTTCTGGTCATTTTTATTCACACAAGGGAGGAAAAAACACCAGAAGGCTTCATGTCAGTCCAATATGCTGCCAGCAGAGCTGTGACATTCATTAGGCCACGCTCACGGGCTTCTTTCCATGGCCAGGCAGCCTGCCTGAGGATCTTCCTGTCCCATTCTCAGCAGCCCTGCGCTGGGCTGGCTTTGCACCCAGCCGCACGCCTTGGCAGCATGTGGAATAGTGTGCCCCAAGATCACAACTCACCTTTGAAAGGATCTGGCTTGGGTTTCGTGCTTTCCTTCTCCATCAACTCCTGACGCCGCTTCTCAATTTTCTTGTTCCTGTTTACGATGTACTCCTAGAGGAGATGGCACCGAATGAAACGAGGACAGCGTGGTGCGTGGGCCTACCTTTCAGCTGCCCCAAGGAAGGGAAAACGGCTCTCAGAGCAGCTCTGTGGGCGGAACTCATGGGGACTGCAATGGCCGGAGCGCTAGGCTCTCCCTCTGACCTGGGACTTGTTCGCTGTTATTCTGCAAAGTCCAGGCCTCTTATTTCCCTTCCCTTTCCCTTCTCTGTGAGGGATCCAATTCCTGCACGACCATCAGGAAACACTGTGATTGAGGACGAGGGTGCTTTACCTGGAGGAACTCCACCGTCTTGTCAGGGAGTTTGGTACTGATAAACCTCAGCGTCTCTTTGTGAAATTTGCTTTGTAGATGCTTCTGGATTTCTTCATCTTCAAAGCTACGAAACTTGCACACAGAACAGGCGAACTGAATCCTGGAAAAGGAAGACGGAAAGAATGACGACATAGGAATAACCAGCTCATCTCTGGTTGGAACAGAAATGGAAACAGGAAGCAATTTCTGTACCAAGACTTCTGACTTTGAGTGGGGCATCAGAGTAGCAGATGCCCCAGGTCCCTCCATCCTGAGAATGGGGATGCAATCTTGAAAGTGTTTTAGGAAAACGATTCATGCACCACACCAGCCTTTTTGGCCTAAAGGCCCACAAGAGAACACCCTAAGGTGGAGACTTTCCAAACTGTGGACTCCCTAAAGGCCCCCAGACCACTGCTCTGGGGGGCGTAGTACCTAACTCTGTAACTTCTTTCTGTAGCCACCAAGATAACACACGGGAGCCTCATTTTAATGTGAGGGAGAATTTCCTGAAGACTTTCCACCATCTAAAACTCACAAAACTCAAGATCAATTTTCTCACGGGACTCAACATTAAGACCCGTCATATCAAATTCTATGGCTAAAAACTGACCTCTTTGTTGCGTACTTTCAAAACCTCATAAATGCAATCATGCTGTAAGGCAAGGGGAGAGCAGCCCGCAGAGCCTTATGCCTCCAGAGTGGGGCGCTGCTTCCCTTGGCTCTGCCCAGGAGGCTTTGGTGTATCTGGGCTAACGACATGGGTCCCTTGACACTCAGGATTCCTCATCTACCAACTCAGACTTCTGCCAGCTCTCAATGCCTGGCTTCTGACCTCTGGACAAGGCACCACAAAACACCTGCTTTACATATACCCTCGACAAAGGAGTGAAAAGAAAAGCTCTGGGGCCCTATATGTATGAATGGGTATTAGGAAGCTACCAAAGAAATGCGGGGTTCGTGCTTCCTGCTGCATCTTTACCTCCCCTGTGACAGTCTCTCCAAGTCTCTCTGAGGGCCCTCTGTCCCTAGGGTGGAGTCTAAAGACTCCTCCTGGAAAAAAGTCATCTCAGTTCTCCTGGGGCATGAAAATAATCTGATCTAGCCATCATGTATTCATCTGTTTGAAAACAAGCATTTTGATGAATTTCTGTTTAGCACTTGGAAGCTCCTACCTTCTAATTCCTGGCTTTCTTGCTCTACTGTTGGCTTTTTTGCTAACATTTCTTTTTTCTTTTTTTTAAAGATTTTTACTTATTTGACAGAGAGTGAGTGAGAAGAAGCAGTAGAAGGAGAGGGAGGAGGCTCTGCGCCGAGCAGGGAGCCTGATGCGGGGCTCAGATCCCAGGACCCTGGGATCATGACCTGAGCCTAAGGCAGACGCCCAACCATCTGAGCCACCCAGGCACCTCAGTTTCTTTTGCATTTCTTTGCGCAGAAAAAGCACCACCCCATTTGAGCCTTAAGGGCAAGGATTCCCCCTTAAGTCAGGAGAGCCTGTGTGTGGAGAAAAACCACATGTGGTCAAGGCCTGAGCAACCAAGGGCTCCTGTGGCCACCAGTGGTTTACATTTCTAGTCAGCAGTCACCTGATCACTGGAAAGACAAAAGAGGCACATGGTGTGGTCACACCAACATCCTTTGCGCTTTTGCAATTCTTTTTCTATCTAGAGACAAAATCTGTAAGGTAACATCCATGCGTATATAATAGCCATGTTGAACTCTAGAGGTGGTCTGGGTTTGGGTAAGGCACCCAAAGCACCTTCTTAGCAGCTTTGCTGAATGAAGTTCACTTATCTGGGGTGACAGATCCAAGCCAGGGACAAGGAAACTCCCCACAGGGGAGGAGAGCAAGAGAGCCCCCTGCTGGACACATGTGGGCCACGGAGACCCCCTGGCAAGAACAGATGCCATCTGTGTTTCCCAGGTTTTGTCTCCTCACGACCTGACTCGATTTCCTGACAGACTCCAGAGGCAGATCAAACCGGGCTGCTCCTGCATTGTGGAGTGAAAACGGATAAGCTCTGGAGAACCCTGACACTTCCCACCTTGCCTGCCTCCTCACCTGTCAGCTGCTCGGTCTCGCATCCGGTCTCTCCTCCTTTGCTTTTCTCTTCTCTTCTTTACTTCATCATCCTCATCGTCCTTCTCCCCTGCAACAGAGAAGTTCCTTCGAGATGCCCTGAAGAGCCCGCAGAGGAGCTGAGCACCAGGGCCTTGATGGGGGGGGCCATAGCTCGGCCACCACACCCCGTACCTGCCGCTGCCTCTGCACGGCAGGGTCAGGACACCCTGAGGCACCAACAGTCTGTCAAAGGCTCCCAACAGGGATGGGCCTTTGATGAGAACCCGTGGGAGTTCCCAGGGAGTCACCTTACTTCCCCCCCATGGCCTGCTAAGGCTGGGATAGGCCAGGGACCCAGCCCGCCCATCCCGCTCACACCATGCTCTCTGTCCTTTCCTATCCTGCTTTTCCAATCCAGTGCCCTATCATTGGGTCTTCTCCCAAAGTCACTTAAGGAGAGAGAAGCAGTTCTTCCCAGATAAAGAGGCAGCAGCTGGAAGGCCTCAGAAAATAAAGCAAGCCACTCTACCGCCCTCCGTCCCACCTCCAGGTGGACCATGACGACTGTCCCGTCAGCCTCCTCTGAACTAGGGCCTCAGCAGGTCTGACAGTCCTTGCTGGCCCAAACTCTATCTTCCACTCACAAAAACCGTCCATCTAGGGTCTTCCCAGGGCTACGAGGGAAGCAGTCCTAGAAACAAAAGTGGGAAGAGACCAACTGGTCCTCCGTCGCCCCCTGGGGCCAGCGCAGGAGCTCCTCCGAGAGCCGTGCAGCCCAGCGTCCCAGCGTGAGGCCAGACACTGAGGAAAGGTTGGATAAGCATCTGAACTGTAACCCCTACCCCTGATGCCAGTCACGAGACTGTCCCACGAAGATGGCGACCGGCGTGCGCTGCTCAGAAGCCTCTCAAAAGGGCGTGTGGGGTTTTTGGCAAGAGGTCACTGCCTGAAACTATTACTGCTGTTTAATAGCAAAGTCATCCCGGGTAGGCAGCAGGACCTGTGCGCAATAAACATGTCACCTTTGCTTTAGCATTTGCCCTGCTGCACGAGCTGCTAAATGCTCTGTGTGGTCCCAAGCTACAGGCATAACTGCTTCAGTATTGAGGTGGGAGGACCTCGGTGGGTGGCTGAACACACGGGAGAAGGAGCATCTAAGCCAGGGGCCCGCAGATTTACGGGGGCAGAGCCACAAAGGAGTCGGCCTGTGATTCCTGGGGAGACCAGCTATGGGACAGACCCATGGGAACAGGAAAAGAAACAAATGGTTTTTGGGTGAGCTCAAGGCCACGCTGTCTCATGCTACTTCTCCATGGCCCCTCGAAAAGGTTTAACTGCTCTGCTCTTGCTGCTTACTTTGGACTCTTAGGTCCCCTGGAAGGGCACTGGTGAGCCCTGCTGAGCAAGGATAGTCTCTGGAGGATCCCGGGCTTGGGTGTACCTGACAGGTCTCCCCTCCCCCCACCCCCAGCTCCCAACCGGGGCAGGTGTCTGAACTCCGTCCCACACGGCAGGGAGCACTGCCGCTGCCGGCATTCCCACCACAGAGGCTGAGGGCACAAGCCTGGGCTGGTAACCGAGGAAACTGCGAAAAGAAAGAAGCCCAGGAGAAGACAGTACAGGGACCTGCACTGGCCAGTAGGTAACAGAGAAGACGGGCTGAAGGGTGCCTTTTCTTTTCTTTCTTGCATTTCTGAGACTCTCCCTTCCCTATCACTGCAAGCTCTTGCAGACACTCAGAAATGAGGTGTTCTCCCCCCCCGCCCCCCCCCCCCCCCGAGCCTGCCATCAAGTGAGGCAAACAGACCTGTTTCCAGCAAGTGCCGGTCTAAGCATTGGAGTAAAGCCTCAAGGTGAGCACCATGGCCAAGGCCCACCCGGTGGCCATGGCCCCTCTTCTGCCCTGAGCTATCAGTCCCCTCCATCCAGGCCCCAGGCTTGCTCAGAAGGCCAGCCAGGCTGGGAGCTGAGCAGACACAGGAAAGCTCAAAGGGACACCAAACAATGCCTACCTCTCTGCCTCCCGGGGTCGAAGAACTCATCCTCCTGAAAAAGGGAACACACAAAGTCGGGACTATGAGGTGGAGTTTCCAGAACTCTCCACAAACGACCCAGCACCCTGCCACCACCTGGTCACAATGTGTCAGGACAAGTCCCAGGACAGTGGGAAAGGCTGAGTGTGTCCTGTCACTGCTCCTGGTTGCCTTCTGAGATTCTGTAATGACCGACGTGCTTTTTAATTAAAGTCACTGGCCCTTTCCCAGTTCTTTCTACAGCTAAAGAATTGCCCTTGGCAAATGTGCACCTGCACAGTTCTGCAGGTGGGAGTGCCAACAGCCCATCCATCAGCTCTATGTCAAGAAACCCCGACCGGTAGGATGCGAAAAGGGGCTTTACCACATTCCCCAGCCATCTGTACATATTTACCAAGGCTGTAACAAAACAGGTGTAGATTAAAAAATGCATCTAACTGAAAATCAGAACACAGCCCATTTCTTAGGCATTGCGCTCAAGATTAAATAAGTCACCAGCAGAGACACAGAAGACACCCAGACTCAAGATCTAAGCAAATCAAATAGGGAGCGAGTGAGACCCTCCCCCTCCCCCACCTGACTATCAGAAGCACTTGGTCGAAGCCTTCATACCCAGGTCTCCAGGCCCTACCCCAGACATGGATCAGAATGTGCAGGGGCGGCAAAGGCTCACCACCTAGTGCTCGTGCATGGTCATGGCTCAGAGCTGGCCTTTAACACCCGTCTCCCGTGGCTGGCCCTAAGGGCTGAGTGACGAGGAGCACCAGAGCACCAGCACAGAGCCGGCAGGACTGGAATCCTCAGTGCGTATTCGAAAGCCCCCGCCCACACAGCCCACTGCACTTGCCACGCGTGTGGCTATGCACGTCACTGAGGACTCAGGAATGGCTGGGGAGAGGGCTGGGGCTATTTTCAAGAAGAGGATTATCATGAGTGCAAAACTCTTAGAAAACTAGCTACAAGGCAGGCTACTAAATCCACTCGCAAAGCAGTTAAGTCTACCACAGAAGCTGCTCCTGCCTCTTTGGGAGAAAGAGGCTAAAGTAAAGAAGAAATCCCACACCAGAGAAACAAAGAAGGGTGACCAGTGAAGACAGACTTACACCCCTGAACTCTTCATCTCCAGACCGGAAGTCAGCAGCTCCATCATCTACCAGACACAAAGAAGAGGGAAAGTCAGCCCCTTGGGACTTGGCCCACTCTGTTTCACCCTCCCAGGCTCACTGTCCAGAGTGACCGCGCTTGTCCTGACTGCAGTGGGGGCCGAGGGAGCATGGGCAGGCAGAGCACCAAGCAGGAAACAGATTCATCTTACACCCACCCAGGGCCTACCGTTTTCAGAAAAATCTCCTTCGCTGTCAGCCCTGGCCAGTTTGGCATCCGGCTCATCGTAGATCTGCAACTGCTTCCGTTTCCTGCCCATGCCGTCTGGGCCACAGCGGTCAAACCCTCTCCGCCTGGGCTACGGACACAAGCACATCTGATGTACCGCTTA